TAGTATGTCTAATAAACTATTGTAGAACACATAATAAGACCCTAATAATTGGCTGCGATGCCAACGCGCACAATACAATATCGGGCAGCAGAGATACAAACACAAGACGTGAGATACTCATGGAGTTTTTACTACAACCTAATATAGCTATTGCAAATAAAGGAAATAAACCAACCTTTGAGAATGCAATACTGCAAGAGGTTCTTGAGTTGACATTCATAACCAATAACTCACTTGATTTGATCACTAACTGAAGAGTTTCTGATGAGGACTAAATGTCTGATCACAAACACATACTCTTTGAAATAAGAGCGTAGTGTCCTATAGAAGCCATAAAATAACAACCAACTGGAAGAAATACCAACTGGACTAGAAACTCCACTATAAATAAAATAGTTACCTTTGAAAGGGCAGAACGGGCCATAAATTCATTCAAACCCTACAAATCACCGAGACCAGATGGTGTATTTCCAGTTCTATTCTCTAAAGGGCCCGTAACTGTGAAATGTATTTTGGTTCAAATCTTCACACCCAGTCTGATATTGGAATATGTTCCAAAAATATGGCGAGAGGTTAAGGTATTATTTTTTTCGAAAGGAGGAAGTAAACCCCCTGAATCTTCAAAATCCAACAGATCAATCAGTTTAACGTCTTTCATGCTGAAAACTATGGAAAATATACTCGACTGCTATCTAAGAGAACAGGTTGTTCCCAACAATCCGCTACACAAGCTACAATTTGCATACCGAAAAGGCAAATCTATAGTCACGGCACTTCATACAATTGTTCAAATTATAGAAAAGGCAATAAATCTAAAGAAAGCAGCCCTCGGGACATTTGTGGACATTGAGGGTGCCTTCGATAACGCAAACTTTAAAACAATAGAGCCAGCACTGTCCAATAAAAGAGCAGATTCAGCAATAGTAAAATGACTAAGCAATATGCTAAACCAAAGACAGATCACAGCCGTTTTAGGACAAGTCAATCTTAGTGTTACAGCAGTAAAAGGATGCCCGCAAGGATGAGTACTCTCACCATTGTTATGGTCCTTAGTAGCTAATAACACAATACAAATCCTCAACAAAGGATTGGATGTGCAGATGACATATCAGTAAACCTTGAAAGGATTAACGTCACATATATGCATCAGAAGATTGTATAGTTGTTATGTCGCTATGCTGTTAAGTTGCTAAACCGGTATTAGTAATTGCAATCTGTCATCAAAATGTTGCGAAGTTGTAAAGTCATCCACGGTGTTAGTGATTGCAAGTGGTCTACTTATATTTTTAACTTTTTATTTATATATTAAAAATTATATGATATATATATATATATTTAATATGCATATGTTATGTAGAGGATCAGATGATTGTCGATTACGAAACTTTTAAGCTTTTCTTGTTTTTGGTTATTTTATATTCTGCAGACGATTATTTGATTTAGCCTTTTTAGTACCTTCATAAAGAATTTTATATGATTCCACTGACATTTTTGCGACTGAAGCTGTTAGTGATTCTTGGGTTCTATGCCAATATATTCTAGGAATAAATGTTTATCTAAGATAAGCATATAAGTTTATTTTATTGACTTTTAGTTTTGCGTTTAATTGTTCTAGTTTTAATATAATAAAAACTCAAATAAGAATGATATTTTATTGTTCGTTATGTTATTACTAATTTAGAATATGTAATTAACGTAAGTTGTTATATTTCGACGCCACAATCAGTATGTATTTATATATTGTTAGTATGTTAGTTAGTAGACTGTTAGTTTAAAGTATTTTGGCGTCCTTAAGTTTCATTCAATTCATTCAATTCAATAGTAAGAATTTCATCTTATGTAACAAAAAATATGATCTAATTTAATGTCATAAGTAAATAAAATTTCAAAATATCTTCTAAAGAGTTATCCACAAATAAAATATTTTTATTTCTATTTTTAATATATTAACAGATTGATAAACTCAGAAATGAAAATTAGAATACAGAATTTATTTTCAATTTGGACAAAAGTATATGTAAGAGAATTTGTTTATGAAATCTTTAAAAAAGTTACCTTTCCAACTTCCCAAATTGTCTTCGATGACATTGTCCGCAACACAGTGACATTAGACTATTGCGTACTTTGAATGAGATTTCACTTTTTGAACAAAAATAAAAGTAACGAAAGTGTAAGACTGATTACTTGCGATTTTGAAGTGGTCAACAAATCTACGGCTCTGTGGTTATTATATGTAATTTTTTAGTATTGATATTTAAATAATCAATGAGAAATGACGATATTCGACCACTTTCTCGTTTTTTCAATTAAGAAAAGAAAATTAAGATAGGAAGGATAGAAAAATAAAATAGCAATCGAATCATTAATAATATTTTCCTCATTCAATAACCGCCATATATTTGAATCAAACGATTATATACCTATGTTTCATTGTCTTTATAGACATGGAGGATTTTTATTTCAAATTTCTAAGACTTCAATATTTTTGAAGGAAGTTAACTTTCTTACCTTCACATCTTTTATTTGATTATTATATATTAACCGAAAAACTTGAATTCAAAGCAATAACAAATTGGTGATCGATGATCATTTGATCGTAGGCTTTTAATTTTTAACTTAAATTTTATAACAAGTACGTATATTTCATATAAAAGGTGCAATGTCAATTTCAACATTACTATCACCTTGAGCAAAATTGATATGGCGCCTTCTTATCAATAATAGCGTCACTGTCACTTATGATTTCAAAGTCACTATTAACAGTCAGTATTGACTAAAATACAGGGCTTGACACCCTACCCGATTCATTCTCTAAATGCGGAATACTTGTTGGATATATAAAGTAAAATCCGAATATTTTAAACTAATTTATTTTAAAATCATTTCATTGTATGTGTATTTATCTGTGCGTTTATTGTTATATGCAAATTAAACATTTTATAATAGCCGTAATTTTTTCTTTCAGAGTTGTAAAAAAACACCATTAAGTCTGTTTGGAACAAATTGGCATCACTTTTAAAATATGTTAAATGCTTTTTTTGACATATGTTATAACATAAATATATAACATAACATAATTTAAATAAAAGAGAAAATGAATATTAGAAGGGGAATGGTATGCATTTTTATTTTATTTATTTAAATTAATTTATTTATTTATGTATTTCAATTTATTGGTAAATGAAATGCTCATATGATTTTAACGGATGACTGGAATTCTGCAACATATTTCTAGTAAACATTCACAATAGAGTGATTTTTTAATTTGGCTGCGCCAAAACTCAAGATGTAAAACTTTTTGCGAGTAAAACCTAACTTTTTTTTTTTCGTAAGTTTCTTTCGTAAGTTGTGAGTATTTTTTGCTACTCTGAAAGAAAAAATTACTTTTAATGTTAAATTAGAAATTAACTTTAAGTTTACCAAAAAAATAACCCAAATTATTCCTAATGTTATCGAATCGCTGTCTATCCAATAGTTCACTTTTTAATTTGATGAATTTATGTCGGTAGTTTTGCATATTATGGTGATTAATAGTTAATTCTTTGGGAAATGCTCGGTCTTCTTTAGAAATCTCATTTAATTAAAAAATTTTTTTTTCGTCATCAATACTTTTTATCTTTTGACTTAAAAGTTGTTTGTAATGTTTAAAAGGAGTCATCCAGGTTTTTTTTTCTACAGTTTTGACCGATTAAGATATATATTTTGACTGTTAGTCTAACTGGAACTTACATTAAATTTGAATTAGACTTTTTCATTTTTCTTTCCACAATCTTTCACAAACTGATCACACATGATCAAATGGTCAAAGAATAAGATACTTGAATACTCTAAGGTGTATATATTTATAAAACATATACATGTATTTATATATAATATGTCTTAAAACATATATGTACATCTTTTTATATATAATATGTTAATATGTTAAGTCAATAGTTAAAATACAATTTTGACAAGAATAAAAGCAAAAAGTAATAGCGCGTAGATAAATCATCCGAATACTTAATGTTATTAATACTAAAGAATTATAAAGTTCCTGTGTATATGTAATTAATATTAAACGATGAAAGCTCTATTCGAAAAGTATAACCTGAATGCTCCCTGCAAATGTGATTAAAACTATATTTGGTTGTTAATTTCAGTCGTTTTGTTCTGAAATTCAGTTTTTATCGCAGCAAAATTCATTGAAGTATAAGTATGTATGTATGTATGTATGTATGTATGTATATAAGTAATATGTATATAAATATGTAGGATGGAAACTTTATATTTATTTAAAATAAAATGTTTTTCGTATTATAATATTTATATTTTTCATTAAAATCTTTTAACAAAATTTTGCTTAATTTAATTCTATATAATTTAGTTTCGTCACTTTATACAGGAAAGCTGCTTTTTGAACGTACTCATTCCATATAAACTTGAACTTATCCTTTTATTTAATTAGTCGCACTAACATTGGAATTAATTATTCAAATTATTTTATCTTTTATCTTAATAAATTATTATCATATTAATATATAATCGTATTGATTTAACCTTTACAGAAATTGCACATCAAGTGATTTATTTTGCTTGCTACAACGTTCACTTATAAAATTATACTTGTATTTCATCCTCGTAACTCTACGGTTGCACTATTTTTGACTGCAACTTTATTCTTGATAGTAAAAAATGTTTATATTTATTTATATAGTAAGTCTATTTGGATAATACTTGGTTTATTGTAATATGCGTGTTTCATCTGATTCTGGTGCGTGGTTTTAATCTGACTAGTTGGTGGAGTGGAACCCATTTCCAATAACGTTTTATTAAGTAATTCAAATATTTGGGTACTTTTTATATAATTAATCCAAAGAATGGCTGTATATTATTACTATTAATCACTATTAAATAAAATAAAATTAAATAAAATAAAATAAAAGAAAACCATAAAAACGAACTCATATTATTATTTTTGAATATAATATATACTCGTGAGTATTACAACTCAAATGTAGCTGAGGATCTAGATTTTGCAATTTATAATGGAAGTTACTTGAATGGTTTGCGTGAAAATAAAGTAAATTTTTATTAAAATAAAACTAATATATGTCAGCTATGTAATTATTTTAAGTCAGAGCTGACAATTGCCATTTGTACCTGAAGTTTCAAATCTTGTAAAAATCTTTTGCAGTGCTTCTTGGTCGAAAAACACAGAGCATTAATTATGTCATTTTTAATTCATAAGTGGCTCTCACGAAGTGTGGTGCGGCAAATTAGGTGGATGATTGTGTGGTTGTTGCTGAATTTGAGAGTTTGACGCACTTTGTTGCTGAGCTTGGTGATGTTGAATAGTTAAATCAGAAATAGAATTTCCGGATGAATGCTGTTGTTGGTGCTGATGACTTTCAACTTTAACTGAACTGTTAGTGTTGTTGGAGTTTGATAAATTGGTTGTACCAGTTGCAGTATTTCCAACGCCATTAGCAACCGTTGCAGCTAGACGAAAAGCTGCTTCGGTGTGGGATCGCAGAATCGCTTCAGCTTGTTGTTGCATACGTAAAGCCGTTTCCGGAGAATTACTGGGATGATGCAATTGGCTCAGCTGATGGTTGTGATGTTGAGTATGATGTACGTGTGGATGGAGTGATTGCTGTGACGGTTGATGTGTTGGGATTACTGGTGGAGCATATGTGTGATTTGGAGTCAAATTATTACAATGTTGTTGATGAGTTAGGGATTCGATGTGCTGATGCATACTACTGCCCATATTGGTAAGCATCATTGTATCACGCATCGCTGTCATTGCCATAACTGCACTAACTGCTGAAGTAGAATGTTCTGTGGACATATTAACAGGTGAAGTATTTTGTGTGTTTAGGTTTGTATTTGCATCTTGATTATTTGGCTGCAAATTTTGTTGCTGATGCTGAATTGATGAATTGTTTAACGTGTTGACTAAATTACTTTCTAAATTGTGATCAGCATTATTATCTCTTCCTACATTACTGCTATTTGCGACGGTATTTTGCTGGTTAATTCGCATTGCTGCCGCCAAGTTCACTACAGCAGCTTGTACTGCCGCAGAACCAGTTGAAGGGTTAACAGAAGTATCCACATTAATAGCTGAGGCTGCAGCTGATGCGGCGGCCATTAATGACATTCTATTGGTAACTTGCATTTCATTATCTGTACTATATTGCGTTGAAAGGTGACTATGGCTTGAACTAACCATGTTATTTATTTTGTTGTTGTTATTAATATTATTAGTATTATTATTATTGGTTACGCTGTTATTATTATTATTATTGTTATTATTATTTATATTATTTTCCCCATTTTCTTGATCTGATGTCGATGAAGACGAAATTCGACCATTTGATGAGCATTCCGAATTTACTGAAGGCGAATGACATAAGGAATTCGATTCACCACCTGCTTCATTTATTAGTGGAAGTATTGATGAAGAATTATTCGTTCCTAAATTTCCACTGTTTGCAGTTGCTGCAAGTGTGGCTACAAATATTGAATCACGTTCGCGACGTTCGGCTGCAGCTCTAGATAAAACATACTGTGCAGCGAATTGATGCTTTGGATCCATTCGCATATGCTCCATGTGAGTAAGAAGACCTTAAATTTAATTTAATTATATATAAGTTTATTGGATGCATTTAAATATATTGTCTCGTACCATTTTCTTGGGTAAACACCGCTTGACAGACAGAGCATGGCCACATACGGAGAGATTGTGATGTTTCATGAGAAGACAAATGTTTTCTTAAAGAACCTTCATTAACGTAATGTTTTCCACATATCGGACAAGGATGATTAGCAGACCGTCGCTTTGCTAGAAACGGATCATTTGATGCTGTTGATTGCAGACATATAGACGAATCGATGGTGTCAACATATGAAGGACATATTTTGTTGAACATACGATATAAGTAGAAACGTGAAAAGAAAAAATAATCATAATTAACTTTTTTGAATATTTAAATGATCAATTATGTAAAATTATATCCCAAGCAAATTCTATTTTCCAACTCAATTGGGTTTTCTGTGTTGTTTTACTAATATTATCAGTACTTATTAAATAATGGTGCGATAAAAATACTAATAAGTAGAGATAATTTTTAAATTGATTGAATGGTAAAATGGATAGAGAGAAAAACGTGGAATATAATTTAACCAGTTGTGGTGTCATCGATGATTGTCTAAACTTTGTTGCTTGCGTACTTTGCGCAACTAAGTAATTCGTAATAACCCATTTCATTCTATTTGTCCATTCCATATCTAATATTCAAATTTTGGTTATCAAGATTACTTGATATCTTAAACCAGCCTGTATAACTGTATATTCGTTCACAAAATGAATGAAACATAGTTCCAAAATAATGTTTTTATTTATTTTCATTTTATACTTACTAGAGATATTTGATGGGCTTTTGTCCTTGTGTGCGTGCTTCATGTGTTCCATAAGTGCTTCAGTGCCCAAGAATAACTTATGGCAAACTGGACAGGAAGTGGCATTTGGTCCACCAATTAATGCGGCATGTTGCTGCAAGACACCAAGGTGTAGCTGAAGCTCCTGCATTTAGTTTTAAAAAAATGCAAATTAATCCATAGTATGTCGAAATGATGCATTTGTTTAGTGACCGGAAATAACAATAACAGCAAATGTTGGATAATCAAATACAATATCATAAATTGTTTCTATCGATTTTCATTAATCATTAAGAAATTAAAAAAAAGGCAATAATCAAAATTAAAAATTTATTATAATTGTGAATTTTAATTTTTGCATTATAATGTATAGATCACAAACATCTAAGCAACTCAAGGAAGTTGAAGAAAAGTGACTGTCTCAGCAGATAGCCTCGTTGAATACTGCGCAGGACTTATAACATTTGTATTGTTAATTTTATTTATGTTGGAGACAGTGGCGTAACTACAGGGAAGCGACTGGAAGCAACGCTTTCGGGCCCACGAATTTAGGGGGCCCCATTATAAATTTATGTATTCATTGTATTTATTTTTAATAAATTCTCAAAAGTGGGACGAAACGATTTGCTGTATAGTTGTGCTTCGATCCTCAATTTCTATCGGTGCTATATTTAAATCTGCATCTACTCCATATTGCAAAATATTTCATTAACCATTAACATATACCAAATTTCATTGGAGTATCAAAAAGCTGAGTTCAAAAGCTGAGAGAGTAGTTTGAACTGAAAAGGTATATATATACTTTATTGATATATACTTTATAGTATTTGCGACGTTTCCTTTAATGCGTTACGAAAATCTGGACAAATTTTATATACCCTTTTTACACTTTTTCGTGTAAAGGGTATAAAAAGATGTTAGTAGGGGCCCCTTAGTTAGTAGTTGCTTATAGGCCTAAAAAATGTAGTTACGCCACTGGTTGGAGAAGTTAATATATAGTATTTTAGTTAGAATAACTAATAAATACAATAAAAAACCTGGCTACATTTCTTTGGAGAAAATGTGCCAAAATTTTTGTGATCACAAATGCTTGTTCATTTTATTTCTGAAAAATGAAACTAACTTATTCAACGGAGCTATCTGTTCAGACAATGATGCACAATATATGACTAACCTTAGAAGTGTGTGTCCTTAGACTTGATTCTGTTGCAAATCCCTTTCCGCATATGTTGCAATGAAACGGACGATTCTTAGCGCGCTCCACCTGCGCGTCATGGTTTCTTAAGTGTTGCTGGAGGTTCGATAATTGAATAAAAGCGCGCCCACAATCAGGCAAATGACATTTGTATGGACGCTCACCTAAATTAAAAAAAGTAAAATTAATAATTGTTTCTGATTTTCGTTAACAGCATTTCAAATAACTCCATAAAGCTTAATAGTAATAGTATTTATGTGTCTCACATTGATATATTCAACGGGTACATAGGAAGAGTGTTGATTTCGATACAACACATGAACAATGTGAGTTGGCACTGCTGTGAAGCATTTCAAGTACTTTTTTTATTAATAGTTCTCATTTTTCATATTTTTTAAATTTTTTTTTTTGGGTTTTGGTGGGAAAATTATGAAACAATTCATTTACAAAGAAATACAGAAAACGACAATCTAATGGAAACAACGCTACCCCTTTCTGGTGCCCGATATAAATTTGTGGTATTACTAGCTTTATTCTTTTACTAAAACTTGTTATTACAGTATACCGTAAATACTCAACTCTTCATCAATTTTCACGGAGGTAAAATGCAAGGGATAATGTGCGTGTTTCATTAGAAACAATGTTAAGTATCTTTTTTTTGTATATTTTCACTATACAATTAGGCAGAAAACGTTCCCGAATATTTCAATTGAAACACGGAACCATTTAAGAAGTGAAGAAATATCCAAGAAGGTTATTTCATCACATTTCCGCGTTCACCTTTCAGTTGCAAGAGAAAATCTAATTAGAAGAAGGGAAACCTGTGGTTTTCATCTTTTCTGTGATATTAAAAAATTATAAATTTTAGTTTTAACAAATCTTGTTTAAGTAATCACGTAAAAAAATATAAAATATAAAATGTTTTTATGAATATAGACAGTTTTTAAATACAAAACATAAGTAAGCGATATGGAGATGCAATTTACCTTATAATTCCTTTCTTTGAAATTATACTTAAATAAAATCCACTGTAAGTACTACTTATTTATTTTAAAATATGAATTGACGTTTACTGGTTATTCTTCTCTAAAAGAGAATAAAATCTACTAAATTTATAGAATTTTTGTTATGAAAATATAATATCAATAGTTTAGCCAAATTGTTCTAAGGGAGAGCTATTACACTAGGATATGCTTTTTTGGAAGTGCTTTTGCAGTGTATTATAACTAGATCACATTAACATTATATAGATATAACAATAGATAAGTTTCTCAAGGGGGAATTTTCCCTGATGATAATCTTTAGCAACCGAAACGTCAGAAATATAGATTACATACTAAATAAAACATTAAAAACTGTTTATAAAAAACGAAACCAAACAATCTGGTTAATAAGCCTATCATTCATCTATAATAAAGATTTAAAGTACTATACATAAGTATTCTTCTCAACCTCTTCTAGATGAGATCATTTTTTTAAGCAATTAATTATATTAAATTCATGATCATTTATATAAAAATAAGTTCATAGAGTGAAATAATAGAGTGGTTTTTATTTAACTAGAGAATCTTTGATTATGGAAACACTCAAACAGTTAATTCTTTATTAAAACGCTGATATATCTTATGTTGCATCAACATTTGCAAATCGTAGAAATCACTTTCGAATTAAAGTATTAAAGCCATACTCTATGACTTTAGTGAAGAGGTCGGAGCACATTTATTTCTTACCGGTTAATTTTGCTCAACAGCGAGATTATCCTATCAGTGGCTTTGCCGATATGTAAAATAGTCGCATATACTAAGAAAAATTTTAATGATGATACATACAGTTTGGTGCGGTTTATGGACTGTTGGCAAGATTAGACTCATCTCTCGTATTTGTAAGTTTTTTTTATTTAAATTTGCTCAGAATACATAAAGCAGCGCGGCGAGGGAATAAATAATTATAAAATTGAGAAATAAGAAACCAAAAATTTCAGGTCAATATATCCGTAAATGAAATATATATCAAATATTCCAAATATATTTAAATATGGATATACTAATTTTCCTTATTAAGAAAAAAAGCGTATTCACTTTATGAAATACTCAAATACTTTTCTTTCAATTGAATATTTTCTACTCCTATTAAAAAAATAGAAAGAAATTAAAAACTTAAAGCAGAAGACGACGCTAATTTTAGCATAAAAAAATTAAAAACTCTTAATTAATTTGAATAAGTGGTAGTTGCATTTTATGTTAAAAGAAGTTAACGAAGAAAAAATTGGAGAAATTAAAAATAAATTGTGTCCTTATTAAGCGACCTGAATTTAGAAGGTTTGTTCTTCCTTCACAAAATGCGTTACATATTTCAATTTGACCGGGATTCCCTTAACGGATTATATTGTAAGAACAAATCATTAACACGAAAAGTACTGTGTTTTGTGTCCATTTTACCGGAAGGATTTTTTTCAAATTTATTAATTTACTATAATTAAGACTTTATACTCAATACTCTTGCAACTCTTGCAGTAGTCATAACTTCGCAAATAGAAAACCATAAATCAATCATGATAAACAAAATCAGTAAGTACTAATTACTTAGTAAATTTTTTTCTGCTTATTATGTTTACGTATTTTGACACATTTGTTGGAAAATGTAGAGTATTACGAGTTAACACACTATAGCAAAAAAATCATCATATCTGAAGAACTTTTTTCAAATCAAACCCATTAAAACTACCATATTCTAGATGCTTCTGCAGAATCGCAAGATATTTTTAGTAATCGTGGTGGTAAATTTAGGAAAACTGGGCTGGCATGCATGATTAACGTCGATTTTACTATTAATATAAGTTAATTTCGTATCTGCTTTCGACTAACAAAAGATATTGACAGCAGTGGAATTATATTCATACAATTATTACAGTTATTATTATATCAATAACAAAATTCTAACAAATCGATCTCCCTTTGTAGCAAATAAATTTATAAGTGTTAAATGATAATCAAGTAAGATCTGAGAATTATTCAATAAACAAAAAGCAATAAATATCTCTTAAAAACGCTGTTCAGAATAGAGACTATGAACAAGTTACAGAAAATGAATCAAGGATGAATCGATTATGTACCCATATTTGGAAAAGCTGTAGAAACCTTAAAAAGCTGCTGGTAAATTTCATTTCTGCTGAGCTAGAAAAAAGGCAAATGTAAGCAATATTAAATATGTACATTAACTGCAAACATTAAGTAATGCAATCAAAAATAATATATATTCTTAAAAATATATCTACTGAGAACACATCGTCGTAGTAAGGATAAGAGTATGATAGTAACTTGTTTATAATTCTGGATTAAGTATACATACGAAACATACGAAACTTTGAACTACTAAAAATAGTTCTATAAAAATATAGTTTATTACTAAACATTCATCTTGATTTGGGCTGTGGTGCTAAATGACAGGATACAAATTCACAAGTCTGCTATAATTCAAGTAAATGGATCTCTTTTACTTTATTCAAGATTAAAGATAATATCAAGATTACATTTTTATGAAATTTTTATAGTAAATGGTAAAAAAAAGAAGTTTAAGTAAATAAGAACAGTTTTATATTTATTTGAAAGATTGCTCTCCCTGAATATTAAAAAATATTCAAAGCTGGCCGTGTGGTGCACTACATGGTGGTCCGAAATGGGTTAAGTGGGCTTTCTTTCTGAAAGCTTTTACATTTTTGCATTACTTTGTGATTAGCCATACTCACAATTTGGTGGATAATAAAATTACGATTCTGTATATTGTTGTTAAATGTCTATTTTAAGTTTATTTCTTTATTTTGCTTTTAACATACATAAGATTCAATAATCACAATCACAAACCATCAATTAGACGTTGGAATACTCAGCCGTTTAATTATAATTTTCTTCTAATTTTATAAAGTCTAGTATAAAGTGAACATAACTTTTTAAAAATAAGCTTAGCTCAATTTAGCTAACAACTATAAATTGTTCTTAACGATTGACACTTGTGGTCAATTTTTTGGTTTATAATCGTATTCAAACTATCAATCATTTTTATTTTATTTGATGAAGTCGGTTTTTGTCTGTGCAAGATAATTTTTTGTTACTGACTATCAAAAAATTAATTTCAACGAAAAAATCTATGAAGTTTCATTCAATTAATGATTATCACTTCCTTAGGTGTAAAAGCCATCAAAAAGGTTATATACTGATATTCTGAAGGTCTGTCACTTCATCTGCAATAACTCCACTTTTATGATATCGAAATTTTAAGGTACATCTATGCAGTATCACTATTTATGCTTATTAATGCATCTTATTTCCAATAGATCGCTTCATTACTAAATTGTCTTCATAAAAAGTTCATTGTACCTTAGAGTACTTTTGGTATAAGCCACTCATTTGCATCAATTCTTCCAAGTCGATCAAAATCAATAATATGAAAAACGAAATAGTTTAAAATTCTTAATTTCAATTTTATTAATTCACATTAATTGTACACTAAAAAGTTCATTAAAAAGATATGTAATTTGATTTTAAACCGAAAAGTAAGGATCACAGTGTAAGTAAAGTGGGACATTCGCCTGATTCGCCGAACTCATGCAACAGTGGCTCCATATGGATCCTTTCAAAAAGTCTCTATTCACTTTAGTTCCAATCGAGTTTCTAATACCTACAACAAAGGCATGTCTATCAGAGTTTCTAACGCTATGCTATATTGCAAAAAAAATTTCTACGTTGAAGTATCTGTATCTGATAAATTATAGTATCTGATTTCATTACTTTAACACATAAACTTGATTTTATTCTTATCAAAATCTGGACTACTCTGAATACAATAGAATACTAATATCTTTGGATACGAACTTTCCTCCAATTTGGTTCATTTATGAGAATACAAGCACACGAATATTTTTCAACAATATACGTACTATTATCTAATAAAAGGCACTGATAAAAGTATAATGTGGAAAATAGAAGTATTAATTGCTGTCAATAAATTTAAAAAATTACTGACTTTATGGAGTGTAAAAACAGAAAAAAAAACGAACTTTTTTATATTCAAAAGTTGAATTATTTTATTTCGGGTTTGAAGTAAAAAAATAAAAAACGACAAAATATTGAAGAAAATAGAAAAATATAAAACCAATTACTGATGACGATGAAAATGCAACAATAACGCTGTACTCTTCCCGTTTCATGGGTAAGCCAGGAAGCTGGACAGGGGGGGAACTACAAGGAACAATTTTTGGTAATTGGAAAATTTATAATTTTTATAATAAAAAATTTATACTAATGAAAATACTAATGAATTTTCATTCAACCAATGGTTACCATTTACTACAAAAACAAAAATCATTGTGTTTAAATCGTGAATCTGGTATAAGATTTACAAATGCCCGATACTGTTCCTGATCGATGTATTACATTTAGGAAGGCATTATCGTATGCGCCCTCTTTCTTATATGATAAAATACTTTCACTAATTTTTCTGGAATTCATATTAATTTACCAAAATTCTGAAAAATAAACTTAATCTGGGCTTTATACTAATGGAAGAAGATTAAAAAATTTAATTAAATTTGATTATTCATCTTATAATTATTATTCATCATTATTCAACTATTCATCAGATCAATAATATTGTTACGAACGTTTCACAATTCGACGTGGGCGTTCGCGATCTCTGGATCCCAATAAGTAATTAAATAGTCGACTCAAGTTTTGTATAACCGTTTTTTATTGCTCTTAGTTCTGTTAAACGCAAACACACAATTTTCACTAATCCTAATCTTCTTCTTCTTGTTCTTGAGTTAGTGCTATTACGTACTTTTACTCTATAATGGCTGGGGGGCTTATCATTACCCCACACTAGGCTTTAACTAGGCTAAGAAATCATATAATTTATTTCTCTTTTAGTTGATGACGGACATTAAATCAGCATATCTTCCTGAGATTCCTAATACTAATACAATTTAATTTCAATCTAAACTGACACTCTTAAAAAACTATATCTAAGATTACTAGATTCCATATTCATAGATTCCATATTCGCAACAATGCGAATATATTCAGGCAAATATAAAAATTAATAGCTAAAAAATTTAATTTTTTCTTTCGCTAGTAGTATAAAAGATAGATTTAGTCACATTGAAAAATATTTATAATATTCTATGAGATCTACTACATAATTTTTGTTTAATCGTTTTTCAATCAAAAACTAAAAAAAAAATTGTTAACATTCGTTCGAATGCAGTAATTATTTCTTAGAGGGTGTAAACACCTCTAATGTAGCCGTTGACTCTTCGGCTACATTTAAAGACTTTTTTGGTAGTGGTGCATACGGAATGTTGTAAAACTAATATAGAACATTTATATCGCTAGGTTTTATAAATATTCCATAGATGGGTGTTTTATTCTTATAGATTTACTGCTAAAGCTAGAAGAATTTATTTAAAAGCATAAACACTACATCAAAACAATCCGTTCAACTCCAACAGATTATACTCAAAAAGAGATTTTTTTTTATATCCTTATGATTGGCATCACATTTTCCTATGAGGGAACAAACTTAAACTACTGTTATCTCAGCCATATTCTGTTCCTCATCTGAAATGTTAAAAAATATTTCGTTATAAGTTGAAGCGGAAAAAAAAACCATGTCCATTCATAATTCCATATCTCTCTCAATAACGAAATCAGTTATCAATAAGTTGATCAAACAATCACATAAGAGGACCACATCATAGTTATACAAAAGCTTATTAAGAAACAAACATTCCCTTTTCTTTTATGACCAAGAAATCCTTTCAAAGAAGAAGTGATTGTGGTGGAATTGACATCGATAAAAGCACCAAATGAATATTACGCGAAGAAAATATAATATTTGCTTTCAAAAATATGAAAAAAAGTGTAAACTATAAAATAAAATCAAAGAACTCGTAAAAATTTTAATTGTTTTATTGTCGTCTTTAGTTGATATTCCAATCGTAGCTCTCGGAGTTACAGTTTCATCTGAAGTTTCAGTTAGGAAATATTAGTTCGTTATATTTAGATGCAGAAATATATTTTAGCTTCATTCCTATCGATTGCAATATAAGTCATTTAAATGTTATAAAAATCGCCATATTATTATATAAAAAATAAAATTAAAATTTTTTTGGTTTAAGTTTTGATTGTAAAGCCAATATTACTATTCGCATAAGTATTAGGTGATTTTGACAGTGATTAGATACCATTTGATAAATGCCAGACCTAACTTTAATAGCTTTTCACTTAACTAATTACACTCAATATATAGCCCATTACTAATCCTCAATGTCTAGATTAAACACTGCACATGGGATTCATATTATATGTACTTAAAAAGTATTTTGTAGTGACCACGGCTAAGTTGTTTTTGCTTGCTTTGCTTTCGTTTTAAGTATTCATTCAGTAAAATGTATATTTTTCCTATTTTTACAAAATCAGTTTGCCTTTTACAATGTCTAAGTATTTGTTGCTGTTCGTAATAATTAGAATTGCAAAAAAAAAATCATAATTAAATCAACTAAAAGTGCTTTTTGTCGCGACGATGACTTTTTATTAATTTGGCATTTATTATGTTTTCTTTTGCAAAAACGATTTTAATTATAGAAGATGATTGGCATAAGAGAAAAAAATTTAAACGGAGTTAGAAATAATCATTGAGTCTTGTAAGATGTATTTAAAGTACTAAATACAATACCTACTTTTCTCATCTCGGAAAGAATTACAATTTTTTAGTGTTTAAATATGAAATTAAAAGTAAGAGACGGTGAAATACTTGTTTTTTTCACACCTGAATGAAATTTAATAATTCGGATATATATATATAGGGAAAGGAATGGAAGAACCGGATTTGAAGTTGCAACCCTCGGAACGGCTGTGCTCATATTTTATCCCATTTTAAATTAAATTTTTCGTATTTTTTGTTGTTCATTCACATTAGGTGTAAATTTAAAAGCCTTGAAGATAACATGATATCAATACTTTACTTTCAAATACCTTTTAAAAAGATAAAAACTTTTAGATAAAAAAAAAACAAAAACAGTGGCGGTTTCGAATATAATGTTTTTATATTTGCCCTGTAATTGCGAGAGAAGTAGAAAGAAGAATAAGTTTTTACCTAGAAATTTTAGAAATTTGTTTATGAAATGATAACAGTAAATCTATGATAATTGCTTTTCTTATAAAAAAATTCGTGCAAATACAAATTAATACAAATTAATCATTCCCAACGCATTTACCATTATAAATTTCTGCTTATAATAACACGCCAAGATCCAGTCATACAATTATTTCGTTTTCCTATTATTTTGATTTTTGTGCATCTGTGTCTCTCGTATTGGGATTAAATGATAATAATAAAAATAAAAGCTGAAAATACGAACGTTCAATTGAAAAATTCACTCTACAGACAAAAGCGTTTATACTGCATGCTTTAGGATGTGGCAAAAATCTCACTAAATATCCACAATAATAAAAAATTAACATTTTTTGCTTGCCGTTTTTTGACATAATTGCTTAAAAAAATAAAAAAAGTAAAAAGATGTAAACAAAAATATTGCGTTATCTAATAGCTTGTCGCAATAGGAAAGAGATTGGTGAAATTACGCCAAGGACGGTTACGAACACAAGAGGGGTTTTTGGCCAGTTAATAATGTGACGTTAGCGCTTTCAAATGCTATTAATCCTTTTTTCACTAAAAACTGGGTCTTGTACCCAAGCAACAGGCAGCAGTCAGAAGGAATGGCTCAATATGCTTTATGTGTAATCATTGTGCAGAATGTCAATGTCAATCTGTTGAGCTTTGTGTAATACAATAGATAGATAGATATGATCCAAAATGAACGCCAAAAGTAATTGGTTTCAAAAATTCGATGATTTGTTGATGATTACCTCTAGATTACCTCTAATATTAAATGTAATTATAACGTGTTTGCACATGATCGGACGTTGAAATTATTAACATTATATATAGTTTATATAGTGTTGTCAATAATATTACAGTTTTTACAAAAATATTCCTTTTCTATCCTGACATAATCAAATCAATTGAATTTTTTTCGTGAATTGTGAATATTATTTATAAGTTGCAAACTTACCTGTATGAAGACGTGTATGTTGCTGTACATGTGATAATTGCTTAAATCTTCGATCGCAATATGAACATTTGTACGGTTTCTCCCCCGTATGGACGCGTATATGCTGCACTAATTGATGATTGCTAGAAAAGCTCTTCATACATTGCTGGCATTGGTGGGGTTTACTGTCTCCACTTATACTGCCAGGACCAGTTGGACCGAGTCCGACTCGAGGAATTTGTTGTATTTGTTGCATTGCGCTTTTGTGCATAAAGAGCTAAAAATAAAACACAGTACTAGAATAAAACTTTTTGAAACGTAGTTCTACACGAATAATTTTTAAATTGATTTAATTTTTATTAATAGTACGTTTTATGGTACTTTGGTGTAAATAGTGTCTGAAATGTCGCGAACATTAACAGAGAGAATAGCATTGAAAACATGATCAATTACTTTCTGATCACATTTGTGGCAACTGACCTTAAAAGAACTCCAACATAAGCAAAATACTTTTTTCTATGTGAACCGATTTTGTTTTTTATACAAAGCATTCTCGTACTTTTGCCACATTCGCAAATATTTTGTATAAAATTAATGTTAACATTACTAAAACAATAATAAATTTTTTGATGCGTCAGTTGAAATGTAAACTTATTAAAGTTTGTTGAGGTGAGAAAAATGGTTAAATATTCAAAGTGATAATTAAATTACAGAGACTTTATTGCAGGTATTATTCTTGAACTGTTTTGGCTTTCTTACTTTGTGAGTTTTGAAGAATTTGTCTTTGCGACAAAATAATAGTATTCTAGTTTTTTACCCAACGCTGACAGATTGGGAATCAAAACTCCCACTAAGAATAAAGAAATAAGGAAAATTTCAAAATCGGTATCAGAATAAGTTTTAATCATTTTTATTAAATCTAATATTAAATATTGGGTAATACAATAGGAAAATAAAGAAGGAACAAAAAAAAACAACAAATGAATATTGTTCAGACTAAAATTTTTCTGAAATGAAAAAAATTAAAATATGTTTTATATAAGGCTTTTAATTTTTAAATCCAATGTTGTGAAGAGCTTAAATTTACAAAATACTATTTGGCAGAATGAATTAAAATTGTTAATAAAAAATACAAAAAAAAAAACAATTGTGGCTTTCTGCAATTGTACAGTTTCTTTTGCAGTTGTTAATAAACTGTATATACTGTAAATAATTTTTATGGGATTTTTTTAAATTATCTTTTTAATTTGTGAGTTGAGTTAATGGAGAAAATTAAGTATCAGGACTCGAAAAAAAGTACACTGTGTAGAACGGTTCTCAATAAACTAAAACTGTTGTAGTGTCCGTGAACACAAGGATACGCCCTAAAGGCGCTGCTCATTCGTCTGTTGAAAGCACTCTAGTTGGTCGCAGGCATAGATATACTATGAAGAAACATGGCGAACAGAAGTCCAGCCAACAGCCAACAGCTAACAGTCAACATCAAACCGGTTTTTTGTTGTTAAGCATTTGCAACAACGTTAATTGCAAACGAGTTATTGAAAAAACAGCACAACTACACAAGACGTAATACGAATAATACGAAAAAAGCAAGAAGTACAACACTGCATGTTGCAAAGCAAAATATTATCAGCTTCGTATTTGGTTATACAGTAAATATTAGAACCAGAAATTTTTTCACCAAATAACCTGAAATCTGAAATGTGAAATTACCTATTAAAGTTTAACATTAAGTGATTGGTACAGAGGTCGCTCACTCTGAAAATGAAATCAATTATTTTCGTTGAACTAGTATCCAGGCCTTATCTAGTATAGTGTATTATTTCTTGAATTTTACTTTTGCCGTAGCATTGGGGGAGCAATTAATCGTTAATGCTTTGATTTAATTAAATAAATAATTAAAATGAATATATAACTGCCTTTAAAACGAATGTATTTAATAGGTCTGTACTATCTTAGATGCCATTTTTGCATGAAACAATGAATTATTTTATCAAAACAATAGTAAAATAATAGAAGTATTTTGTCTTTTTCACACATTGGTTACTAAAGTTCTTCTGCAAAAAATAAGCGAAACAGCACTTATTCTTTTCTCAAATTCTTTAAAGATTATTATATATGTAATGATTCGGTTACATAAGATGATAACGAAACGTAGCCACAGATAGTTGGTTTGTTTCATAGTAGGAAACGAAGGTTAAGTATCCGTGAATGCTTATACTCAGCATAATAAAGAATATGTATTAAGGAAAGTGTGTGCACGCCTAATTTTTAAAGGGGACAAAACGTATCCACAATTATTAAATAATGTTCTAATAACATGAATCTGAACGTATATATGTATAAATTGCTGAAGTGCATATCTCCTAGAAACTACAAAACGGGCTGATTCCTGACATCAGAAAATTAAACAATGATTTAAATATGTCCTGTCCTAAGCGGATCATATGTAAAATTTTATATGATTATATAAATCATATGAAATATATGAAGCGAAAACATAACATATAGACAAACTAGGTGTCAGTACTGTTAGTGAAATGCCACTTTTCACGATTTAAACGCAATGGTTGCAGAACATTAAGGGGGCAGAGGTCCTACTTTACGAATACTTTTTTAAAAGGCATTATTCTGTGCATAATTTTTCGCTAAAATTATTTGTTTTTTACTTGGTTTAAAAGCATAAAACTAATAATAAAATGGCTATATCTTTTAACTACTAAAATCTTAGTTATTATAATAAACTTTTACCAATCAAAATTTCTTAAAGACAATATCGATATGTTATTTACAGTAGATAATACGACAAAGTCATTAATTATTTATTTAAAGCATATTTATATTCAATTAAGCTACTTTTAAACCAAGTATTGTTGATTTCAAATAATACAGATTAAATGAATTGCAATTGTTCCATTATTTAGTTTCTCGAAATTCAAAAAAAAAAAAAACAAATAATATATTTAAATATTTTTGCCAAAAGAAAATAATAACAACAAAATAATTTTTAATTAACATTTATTTGAAATGATTCACTAAGTTAACAAAATTATTAAAAATAATAGTAATACTAATAACATGTATATTATAAAATTTGAAGTATTAAAATAAACAGATATTAGATACACTGTTTTATTTTGTGAATATTCATTCCTCTCTTATGAGTTCTTTTTTCCAAAGTACAGCAAATTTGAATAATTGCATCAAATTAGTTCTTGAGATGAAATTCACAGTCAGTGTGAACAACACATTTAATGTAAATGTATAATCACTGGTATAGCCTTAACTAAAACTGCTAATATGAAAAAAGTTTAATTTAAGTTAAAGAAAAAAAATAATATAAATTATACTTATGATTAAAAAATATATTTGATAAAAATATAAATTTTAAAATTAATAAATTATAAATAAATAAATTTAATTCAATTAGGTTAAGGTCGGAAAATTTTGGTAAAAATTTGAAAGAAAATTTAGTAAGTTTAATTTGTTAATAATTTGAGTTTTAAATAACCGGCTTAATGCCTGGTTAAATTATATTTTATTTGAATATAGGTCAAAGTAATCAGTAATTATTAACAGAAAATATGTTATGTTTGGTTATTTAAAATTTATATAATATGGTGTAAATGTACTAATTTTTAATATTATTATTAATATTACTTTTATAATTATTATAAAAAAAATAAATAGAAATAAATTTCAATCTGTATAGTTTTTGTTATTATTAAACTCTTGTAATATGATATAAAATGCTGGAGTTATTAAAAAAAATTATTAAAAGAAAAACAATAATTAAATTAAAATTAATTTTTATATTAATTAATAAATTATTAGAAAAATTTAATTCAATAATTGTAACCATATATATTCACAGAAATAGATAATAGACAGAAATAGATAATGATTATTTTGTATATTTCTTATTAATAATTGATTTACATAAATAGTTCGATAAGTAGATGTTGAAGTGTTCAAATTACGAACCTTAGAAAAATGATTATTTTTAAACTACATCCGCAAATTCGCTGGACACGACTTCGGCCAGCGGTCAAATGCGAGTGCAGCGATAGTGCAAAGTTATTTGATTTGGCAAAGTAGAGGATGCATAAAAAACTGAAAAAGAGGGACAACTACAATACGTGCATCGGCCGAGTTCTTTTTTGCAGTAAGTTTGATTTTATTTTCTCCTCATTTCCTATTTATATGTTATAATATTTTTCACAGCACAGTTTTGTGCTGTGCTATTTTTAAGGGTGACTGTTCTGACTGTTCTGACTGTTCTGCCTGTTTAGACTGTTTAGACAGGAGGAATAGTGGCAGCGTTACCACTCCCAACACAAATGATTTTACCAAACTTGCTAGTAATTTCACATGGGTTGCATAAAAATTGTTATTAATAGATTTAAAAATTTTTTTTTTTTAAATAAGAAGTTATATAGAAACTAATTTAAAATACGAATGTTATAGCAAAACATTTGTTGATAGAAATTCCATATGTATTGTCTTTATCCTTAGATGTACTTTTGCGAATTTTGTACAAGTTATTGTTGAATAAAGTATAAAATGTTAACGAACTTACCAGTTTCTGGAAGCCAGAAAATAATTTATCAAGCAACGAATTGTAAGTAGTAGGTGAAGTTTTTGTTTGGTATTAAATGTTATTGTCTTAGAAATAATTAAATATAAGTCGAGTATTAAACTTTACAATAAGAAAAACTCTTTAAAAGCATAAAACATAAAAGAATTGGTTACATGCATGTTTAGTATTTTTTAAATTCGAAATTCATATTTGTAAAATAACAAGAAGACAAAAACCAAAAACAAAAACAAAAATAAAAACAAAAACAACACAAAAGAAATCAAACCTCTTTAGTAAAATTATTGAAATGTATAGTTTAAGGTGTGTTATGTACAAACTTCCAGACATTAACGACATAGAATTTTACTCAAATCAAGAAAGTTTTTGTTTGTTTATAATATATGGTAATATTAAAGTAAGTAGCATATATCTGGTGTATGTGAACTTCTGGTTTTTAGTTTCAGTTTTGTGTCTTTAACGTGGAAGAGTACTATACACAACGGAAGAGATGCCAACTCACTCGTTGCAGGGTTGACCAACATTCTTCTAAGGTTCGCTCACTAATGGCTGCAGTGCTGTTGGAACGGGACAGTTGAAGCTAGAAAAATTGAAAGAAAAGGAAAATATAGATTAATAATTTGATTTGATATTACAAATATTTAAAATGAATTCTTACGAACTATGCAATTAAATAGAATTCTATTTAATCGAGTCTTAAATAAAATAAATTTTTAATGTCAATTCAAAATAAAAATGCAAAAATTTAGTGAATCGATTTTTAAGACTGCACAATACAAAACCCGTAATAAAATATTTTTTAAGAGTAAATAATAATAATTACGTGCTTATTAAATGCCGTCGGCAAGTCGTTTTAATCTTATGCAGCTCACCGTATGCGAAAATACTCAAAAACAACACATTCAACAATTCCCAAACAATAAATTCAATTCCAATCTACAATTATTCACACAAAATTTATAAATTATAAAGAAAACAAAATATTTAATAAAAATACTTTGAATTAAAACACAAAAATGGAATCAAATCATATTTGAAAGCAATAACAAATGGCGTCCTTTGCAGTAAGATACGAACTTAAAGTCATTCAAAAGCGTTTTTGGATTAACAACCAATTGTTGAAGTTAGAACCAATTCGTAACATTCATGTGTGTACGTTTGTGTGCATATGTGGATGGTTAGGTTAGACTCCAATAATATGGCAACTTTAATATAAACTTTTTAAGAAAATTATTAAAATTATTCGTAACGAAACAGAGAAAAATCGGAGTTAGATTGGAAGTGAAAAGAGGAAATGGGATACAAAAATAATTACAGAACTAAAATGATACATAAAGCAAAAAATTACATCTTGCTCCTCTTCACATTCAAGTGTCATTTTTCTAACTTCTTAACGACAACGAGATTGGATTCCTGGTGGTAGCTCAGAATTACGCTCTGTAAAGTTTTTGGTTTGGACTAATTTGATTTGGATTTGCTGTACATTGAGTTAGAAAATTTTTAAAATACATATGTTTTCAAATTCCACTGGTTTCTTTAAGAACTGCTTTCTTTCTTTGCATTTACTAAAAACTTTTTTATTTATTTTTTTTTATTTAATTAATTTTTGCATTGCAATCGGATTTATTTATCTACTTTTATCGCGTACGTCATTTTCGTTTGTTTTTAATATTTTAGTATTTTAATATTTTTATTTTTGCATTTCTTTTCACACGGTTCGCGTTTTATGGTTTATGGTATATGGTTTACTTTTGACATATGTGAGAGCACATGTGTATGTGAAATGCCGGCAACAAGAATGTATGAGTTGCAAACATTTTCGCCTTCTGTGTAATTTACTTCACCGATTTCACCATAACGAGACGATTAATAATATGTGTACTTGTACTTTTAAGAATACTTCGCTGTACCGAACACAATATCACAAATAATTAAATAATTTCCTTTGTTATTAGTGTATTTAACATAACTTATATTTCTCAGATATATTTTTTTGATTCGATTTGACTGATTTCTTTATTTTGCGAGATCATGACAAGACAAATATTTTCGAGCTTTCAAAACTTAGAATTTTAATAATTTAATCATTTTTATATATGCAAATAAATTTTTCCTTATAATGATTTTCTTTGCGGTAGCATCAAACGTCCTGCCAGTGCGGTGTCCTTTAAACTTCTGACTGTAGCTTTTACTGCTTTTGCCCTATTATCCCCAAACAGGATATTAACGTCTTCCCGTGTTTTTTCAACCTCAAGAAGTTGTAAACGCGAAGAAACAGTTGCAGAAGCAAAAAAAGTTGTAATAGTAGAGGAAAGAAAGAATGAAAGAAAACATTGAAAAGCTTACCTACACAAGTAAAATTAAAGAAACTCACGAGGTACCGAACACTCTACACACCACATACAGCACAGAGCACATCAAGCAAATGAACTAATGTTTAACGCGAAAAAAATATAATTGAAAAGTCAGGGGAAATTTTATATAAATGCTGATTATTAATAGTAAAACACAAGACAGGAAACAAACACACAGATTTAGAAAGCACGCGTTTGAAAGGAGCTCTCACATTTTCACATTTTCACATTTTTATGTGAATTGTCCTCCTGTAGGTGAATGCTGCTAGTTTCTTAGAACCGTTATGTACCAACGAATGAACAGTTTCAACAGTTTTGGGTATCAGTTCAAATAGGGTTTTTTACTAACACTGCTATTGTTACATTCATATTTTGTTTTTTACGCACAAATATATATACACACACATATATATATATATAAATGCTTACTTATATACATGTATATATATGTATATGTATAGATATTACTTTTTGTGAGTATTTTTATTTCTATCTCACCCCGTTTCCCTCATCCAAATAAAATAAACATAAAACCTTAAGTAAGAAAAATAAAAACAGAATATATTGTCAACTTCTCCTTTAATATTTATTCTAATAAGAACAGCAATAATAAGAGAAAAGGGGAAAATTTTGTTTTCTTGCTTAAAAAAAGCATAGTGGAAGGAAAAAAGCGTTCTATTTATAAAAAAAATATATATAAAACTATTGCAATCTTTATGTGCTTCATAATAATTGCAAAACTATTAAAGCCAGAATTATTTTGTGTACCTCGAAAGCGTATTCCATAATTATATAAGCGACAATTAATAAGTTGTGAGCTTCATTTTGAGGAAATAGTGGTTCATATTAAGTTGCGTTGTTGATTCAAAGTGTAAGTTTTAGTGATTAGGTAGTAATATAAACTTAATTTTAAATAACATAATTTAATCAGTCAACATATTATTCGGTTGTAAGAGAGCATACGCTACACAAGATTCTTTAGACTTACTGAACAAAATTTGTGTTGCCACTTTTCTCTAAGGGAAATTTTCTCTTAAATAGACATTGCCTCTCTTTTATTTTACCCCTCATGCCAAAAATTTTTCACTGTCACTAATAGCTAGTGTTTCTCTTCATTTGTAATAATTCTGATTATTTTTATGAAATGAATTTTTTTTTGTTTAGTAAAATAGACTTTCTATAATGAAAGTAGTTGAAGATGATATATTTCTTACAGTTTGCAATAAAATACTCGTAACTTTTATAAAAAGTAACAAAAAAGTCAAGAACTAAAAAACCGGCAAATATTTTAGGTTTGTACTGAGTTAATCTGAGTCAATCAGGAACGAAGCACATAAATGGACTAGAGCACTGTGCTTTGAATAAGAGTCCTAAATAGTAGTCTTATAATCAAATCGAATCAAATCAGAACATTGTATTCCTGACATTTTTTTTACTTTTTTTTACTTACCTGAATTTCGTTAACTAATTTTTCGCTATTGAATTTGATGTCGGGCGTTGAGCTACTACCGGAGGGTGTTAGTGATTGTTGCGGAGATTGCGATGGTGGATGTGTTAACGTACTGACTTGAAGTGGCGGGGTTGTTGGTCGAAGTTGCTGCTGCTGCTTTTGTTGGTGTTGTTGTTGTTGTTCTTGATGTTGTTTGTGCTGCTGTTGCGTTAGTATTGCTGGTAAAGTGGAGGTTTCGGGTGCAGGTGTTGGCAGCAGTAGAGAATGCTCCTGCTGTTGCGAAAGCTGCTGCATTTGCAATTCATTAGAATTAATATTAAACCCTGATTGACGATTTTTTATTTGCTCGTGCTTAACGCTTTCGTTAAGTGAGTTATTTTTTTCACCTCCAGAATCACTGATGTTGTGTTGATGACTTTGAAGCTGGTGTTGGAGTTGTTGTTGCAAATGCTGCTGTAGGCTGCCAGTGCTGCTGGTCGATGTTCCGGAAAGATTAGTTTGGAACTTTTGGTGTTGCTGCTGGTTGCTTGTGATTAGCATTGGGTCTTGTTTTTCTGGCGATATGCGCTCATTACTTTCATGTTTGTTGATAATAACTGCATCTCGATTGGCGCAGTTGCTTTGCAGTTCGTTGGACTTGGCAACTCCGCTTAGATGAGCTGCTGCTGCTGCTGCGGCGGCAGCATTAAACAACAAATGATGACTTTGTTCACTTTGTTGCTGAATGCTATGGTGTTGCAATTGATTGTTGTGTCGGAGGTCAGGTTGCTGTTGTTGCAATTGTTGTTGCACTTGATGTGGATGATTTGAGTGTTGGTGCTGTTGATAATGATGATGTTGTTGTAATTGATTTGTGGCTACTGCTGCAGCCGCATGAATGCCAAATGGTCCACGTGCCTGTTGCCAAAAATCAGCATCCATTTTAAAAGGTTGACTTTTTAGTTGGTAATGTTGCGACTGCTGATAGTGCTGGTGCTGCTCTTTTTGTTGTATTTCTGTAGTCATTTGCATCTAATGCGTGGCACTATTTAATGTTATTTTTATCGAATCACAGTCGCTGGTCAATTACTAAACTCATCTGTCAGCACTCCATTCAGCAAAGATAATTTTGGTGTCTATGTATGCAATTCATTTATGTCTTTACACGAAATTACTTCTTCTACGGATTTTAGTTAAGGTATTTCTTTTAGATTTAATTAAGATTTTCTTTGCTATATGCTATCTTATTTCCTAGTCAAAAACTGTTTATGTCTTATTTGTAGTTTCATCAAAAGACTCACTAAATAGCATTTTACGTGACTTGATTTTCATTTAGATTTTTAAGTTAGTTTCATTAATACATATGTTCAATACTTCAGCCAATAATCGTTTCGATTATTTATAAAATCGAATCTAAAATTAAAAAGGGAAGTTCATTGAGAAATTGTTTAAGGGCATTGAAATTGATCTGATTTTGGATTAGAAGGCAATATAAAAGATAACAACTTTAGTGCAAAGTAAAAACGCAAAGAATCTTCAAATTAATTCTACTTATTGATATGTAGGCATCGATTATGATAATAAAACACTTTTTACTTCGTAGCTCTTGCTATTAATTGCCAACCGGTTATTCCGATGGCAAAAATCCTATACAGAAAATAATTGACTCACCAATAAAAAGAAATATATTTTCAAAACTAGGGCGTTTGAAACTACTTCTATTATTGTAGTAACTCGGATAATTCACTTGACTTGACAATTTTATATATAACTTTTACTGTCTAACTATGTGAGTGTTGCGAATATTTTCTATTATATTATTCACTTAATACGAGTTTAGCTACCCAATACTTTCATATACTTTCACCGTCGTTATAAGCGCTAAAATAACAGTTACGACAAATATTACTGTTTCTACAACGAGCGATGCCGACAAACTAATTTAGTTGCTTCAAATTCTTAAATATAAATATTATTTTCTTATAAAATGTGCGTACTCCTAAGACGTTCGGTTTGCTCCTGCTAAGTTTGTTGGTACTGTTGTCATCGGCCATTCGTAACAGCGAATGTGGTAACTCGTTTCTGCGATTTAGAAAGCGCGCCAACTTCAAAAAAGGACAAGAAATTCTCTTCGCGAAGCCTGTAAACAAATTATTTTACGCGAATATATTGAAGTTATTTGAATATTTTTGTATGTGCACTAAGTGCAGCTCATGAATTCTAGTACATTAAGAGATGACAACTTTCCCGCAATGCCTGCCTTCGCAAGTACAAGAGCGAAATCTTAAAGAAACTGCACTATCAGTGCTCATCCATTTAAAACTATTGAAGTGGGACTAATTATTAGTATTTTATTAGTGGCCGCCAAAGAGCAACTACTTTTCCAACCTGTTAATATCGACATTAAATGTAAAAATAATTTATTTAAACGCAAAATATTTTAATATTTTAATTACAATTATTTGTTTTCTAATTTATGCTTCTTCCTTCCTAGCGTCTGAAGCAGTTCTACTCATTTGCAATTATAGTAATAAATTATTCAGGTGAATTAACAGAAGTATAGCTTGAGTCCCAGCGTATTTTCCTAACGGAATATGTGTCATAGGGAATAAGGGATTGGATTATATATCAAATATACGTATAGAATTGAGTTCAATATTTTTTGTCAAGTTATGCTAATTGAAATAGAAAGAGAAATCGAGTATCCATTAACTATATTTGTATGAACTTTTAATAACCTGTAGTGTTCAACGTGGTACTTACCTTCAATTCTGCCACCATTCTAAATATCCAAATGAATAAAACATAAGTTTTAATATAGATTACGACATGTTTCACTGTTCAGTTAAAACTTTATTATTGCATTGTCTACTCTGGGTACTCTATCAGTGCATCATTTCTGAATAGAATGCCCAAACTGTTTGGTACTGACAAAGGAAGTAAGCTACTGCTCTCACTCAGCATTAATGAGTACATCACCTAGAGTAACTTGTTCATATCCTATGATTACGTTCACTTATTAGCTTTAAACTGCTGTTTAACTATATATATTGGTTAAGTTCCTTGAAGAGGACTTCATGATATACAGCATTAATTTTTGTTCAACTTTTGAGTTTATTTTAATTACGCACTGATTTCACGGGGGTTCCTTATTTTAACTTTTATACTTTTTGACTTCTTAACTTTAAATATTTTTTATTGTTTTTTATGTTTTTTTATTGTTTTTTATTGTTTTTTATTTTTTTTTTTAATTATTTATTTTTTTACGTGTTACATTTTACATTTTACATTTTTGTAAGGCCAAGCTAAGGCACGCTGCGTTTCATAATGTCTTAAGTTTAATTTTAGTTAATTTTAGTTAATTTTAGTTTTACTTCAATATTTCAAAACGTTTCTTTAATCCGTTTAAGCTTGTTTAGAACTCATCGATATAGTTGACACGTCCTAATAGCAATTCTCTTCCCTTTAATCGGTTTAGTTGCAAGTGGTACCTCAAATGCGATTTGACGTTGTCTTGATTGTAAACATTTAGTCCCCCAAGTTTTACGTTTTGAAGTTTTGAACCAAGATTTCAGTTTTCAGTTTTCAGATTTCAGATTTCGTTTAGTTGAAGTTAGATTAGGAATCGCTTTATATTTTGCTAGTCTCAGTCAGATGCCTCTGAGTGTTTTTTTTAGAATTATATATAATAATATATATTAATTTTTTTTTTTTTTCTTTAATTTCTTTTAATCAGAGTAGCGTCTCTTAGTATTATTTTGTATTATTTAGTATTATTTAGTATTATTTAGTATTATTTAGTACTATTTAGTATTATTTAGTATTATTTAGTATTATTTAGTATTATTTAGTATTATTTTATTTTGTTTAACATTGAACTAAGATACTTATGTTGAATTTGATTTTTGTTCAGTTTTATTAGATATTAGATTATGTAGAACTTATTACTTATTACTGATTACTTATTACTGTGATTACTTATTACTGATTACTGGTTACTGATTACTTATTAGTTATTACTTATTTAATTATTATTAATAATATACAATATTGAAGTGATGTGAGTTTTCGATGTTATATATGGTATGTACGTAGATATATATATATTAATATGTAGAGCAAATGCTAGCTATATGGTAAGTGGTATTTAAAACTGTATGTGCCGGTGTCAGTGTGGATTTTTATTTCAATAAGACGAATTTTGCTTTTGGTTGTGTGACGTTGCTGGGAAAGTTTCCAATTATTCTTAGCTTTAATGCTTATTGTTTTTGCTCTTCTTGATTTCGTTGGGATTGTTTAATATTGTGTGGGTGTGTGGTTAGTGTGTTCAGTGTGTCTTCATTCGTGTCTGATTTGAGATACTTCTTGGTCTTTTATTTGTTGTCATTTATTATGAATTTCAGTAGTTATTTAAGTAGAGTTATTCCAAACGAAACATCTCGATTGATTATATTATAATATATATTAAAGTTTTTGCATATATAGATATATATATATATATTTGTGTGTATGTATTCGACTCCAGTTACTTTTGTTTATTAATTCGAAAAAATTTTGTTTATTTTTAATAATTTTTTCAAATAATTTGTTACTAAATTTTTTTTGATTTTTTTTTATTTTGGTTTATTTACTATTAAATTTTTGCTTACGTTTTTTTTGTTGTAATTTAATTTGTAATTTCGAAATTGGTGTTTTATAAACTTTGTTTTGTACTTTGTGTTTCCAAATTTTATAAATATATTCCGTTTTGTTTTCGACAAGTTTTGTTTAAATATTTCTCCGTATCCGTACTCGGCTTAAGGCTTAGAATTAATCAAGTGTTTGTTTTTTAGGTTTTTGTGTCCAGTCTATTAGGATAAAACTAAGGTGTGGATGATTTCAAATGAATTCTATTGTTCTTTGTGGATGAATTTCGTTAAAAACTTTGCTGGTCTATGGCATTTAGTTTAAATAAAGATGGCCTGCGAAATGAGAGCAGATATTTATTAATTACAGCATAATAATTACGTGTCTATATTTTAGGTTGTTGCACTGGCCAAAAAGTATCAAACTGAACGGAACAGAATTTCGATGGCAAATCAGACAAATCTGCCTGATTAACTTCAGCAATGTTAATGTTAAAAATGTTAAAAATGTTAAAAAATATGGGATTCAGTTCAGTTATTGACTTATTGACCAGAGCAAATGGCACTTTTAAATACACATTTAATGTTTATTTTTTTTTTTTTTTATATTAATTTTATATTTTCTATATTTGATTTCACTTGCTTTACAAAACTCTTCGCAAACTTTTCACATATTTAATAGATGCTTAGAATTTTTAAATAATTATTTTAAAACAATGAAAAGTTTTGCTTTTTCAGTTTAATTTTACTATTGCATTTGTGTTGAGTATTAAATAATTAGAAAAATTTGCCGGAAAAATATATTGTGTGTGTTGCGGAACGCAGATATTGGCTTATTATGAGTTGAAAAAATGGTGAGCATAGCCAAAACGTTAAAAAGCCTATAACTGCAGCTTGCATTTCTGTAGTAAAATGGCATCGAAATCAGAAGTGGCGCCAGCATCAATAACAGCGCGAGACATTCACGTTGACGTTTGACGTTGACGTAGAATCTGAAGCTAACAGCGACGTCGGTTATGGTGGCATCAGCATTTACTTTATGAAATAAATGGTCATTTCCTTTATCGAAAATTGGTTTTTGTGAATCAAAACCAATAGAGACAATAATAATAGTAATCACCCGAGCTGCGTTGCTTTCCTCAGCTTTCCTCAGCTCAGTTTAGCTCAGTTCAGTTCAGCTCAGTTCAGTTCAACTCAGTTCAGCTCAGTTCAGCTCAGCTCAGCACTATCGACACCAGGTGCAGCGTATCCTTCGAACTGCATTTCGCAGATGCGTTACTGCATTATAAGCTAATGGAAGTCACATACGCTCTTATATTCACACCCACCAATACAAGCACAGATGCTTGTATTGCAGTCGCCAATGGTACTGCACAATGCACCAGCCTATATGCAATTTAGTTACATTTGCCGACTGCAATTTATGTTGTAATATCCATCGATTTGTGTTTGCTTGCAAAAGCACTTTGTTGGCCATTGCACATTGCACATCGCACATCGCACTTCGCACATCGCTTCATTCCAATTCATTTTATGCGCAAGCCTTCAAAAGTGACCGTTTACAAACACGCATCTGGTCAATATACATACAAAATACATACAAAAATGGATACATTCATGATCGCTGCCTTGCAGTTTCCAAATAAGTCGTCTTTTACATAAACAAAACATTAACATTAACATTCTAGTTAAGAAGAAGCACAAATATACATTTTAATAACAACAAAAATTCTAATAACTTAATATAGAAAAGATAGTAAGAGTGAAACT